TATTCAGGAAAACCTTCTTTTATCAAAACAGCTATTCTCAATGAATATATCAATCATATTTCACAAACTGATTTAAATACTCAATTTTATATATCAACAACAAGTGTTTGTAAAAAAGTCCCAAAATATTGTTTTCAGATTGAATATCGTTTACTTTGTGAAGTATTTACTGATTCAATAATTGGAAACTCTAACATTGTTTTGTTAAAAGGATATCCAAGTGTTGTTTCACATAAAATATTTGAGTTGTATTGTACAAAGTCAAATATGCTTGATCTATTAAAAATTATAAAAGACCCTCAACAAAGGTCACAAACGAGAGTGATTATTGGTTTATTTAATAAATGCGTTTTAGCGTTAGAAGAAATGAGGAAAAGAAGTGGATTTTGTCAAAATTACAGTATCATCAAAGATAGATATCCTCATGTCCAATTCGTTGCACTTGGGCGTTACGAATAACAAGAGTCGACAGCTTATTTAAATTGTCACTTTTTGATATGATTCAATCACGAAACTCTCTTTTTTAATAACATTTTTTATTTTTCCTTTGTGTTAGCAAAGTTAAAAAAATAATTAACTTAAGGTAGAAATCAATCAAATTCAAGTAATTATTTTGTTTTTTAACAGTAGTTGAAAAAACCACCATAGCCACCAGAACTTGGTTTCTTTTGTTGTTGTTGAGGTTGTCCTGGGTTTGAGTAAGGGGCATAGGTTGGTGTTATTTGATTTGGTTGATTATAATATGATCCATTTGGTTGATAGAATTGTTGAGGTTGGTAATAACTATAATTTGGTTGTGGTGGTTGAGGGTAATTATAATTTGGTTGTGGTGGTTGAGAATAATTATAATTTGGTTGTGGTGGTTGAGAATAGTTGTTATTTGGTTGTTTGTAGTTTTGTTGAATAAACATGAATGGGGTAAAATAGGCTTCTGATTGTTGGTTATGATATTTTACAGGAGGTTGTTCCCTTTTTTGTTGATAGTCATCTTTAAGTTCTCTTTTACGTTCATCAATATAACTATCACCAGTGTTAACCCTCTTTTTATGTTGATAAGTACTACTTGGCTTTGTATTTGAAAATCCACGAACACTAATCTCAGGAAGAGTAATAGGGTCTCCATCTAAATATCGTGTTTTAAACACATGCCCTTCTTCAAATTGAGGATTAATAAATCCAGCAACAAAACATTGGTTTTGGTCCTCATCAAGTTCCATGTCATCCACTGGAATAATAAAACCAGTTAGTCCTTGTTGAGAATTTGTGATTGATGTTAATAATTCTTTATAATCTGATAATGGGACTTTTTTATCTTCTTCATTTAATGTATCGATAGTAGGTTTAATCAATCCCCAACTACTTGAACATGCAGCTTTAAACGTTTGTATAGTAGTGAAATATTTTGCATTATCTTTACCAATAAATATATAGGAATCACCATATCTTCTATTCCGTTGTCGTAACTCCCCTGTCAACCCCATTTCTATTGGTTCGACATAATGTAATAACTTTTCTTGGTCAATGAAAGTTAATACAACAATAGCTTTGTAATCAACTTTTTCTCCATTAAAGTCTAGTTCAAATGTATCTGGATAAAAGTCACTAATTGGTGATCCTTTAGATTTCATTAAATCATGGAATTGATATGGTAAACAACTTTTAGATCTAGGTGGTAATACAGACATTAATTGTTCAAATGGTCTAAATGGAATGCTTTCTTTGTATTTGATTTCAAAATTATAATCAACATATTCTCCCATATCTTCTGCAAAAGGAGCATAGAGGTATGGATAATACCAATCCCATGACTGACACCCTTTATAGTAATATCCAAGAACCCAGTTCATTCCTTCAAAATAACTATGAACAATATCCCGAATTTTCTGAGTATCTTTTTGGGGGTCTATCTTAAATTTTACACTATAATATCTTTGAGTATATCCTGGTTCTCCTAACTTAACTTCATCAGTTAATTCTTTTTGCTCAAAATCCGCTCTAAGTTTTCTTTCTTCATCTTCTATTTTTTTTATTTCTGCCTCTTGGGTTTTGAGTTGTTCTTGCTGTTCTGGAGTGAGGGTATTAATACTTTCGGTACTTTTTAAAGTACTATTTTCGTAAACATTTGCTTTCTTAATTTCAAGCTCTCTTATCTGATTATCTAGTCTTCGTTTTGCATAATTTTTTTCTTTTTGACATTTTTTTTCTAGGATTGCTGGTTCTTCCTTACCAACTTCTTGTAAAAAGTTCTTGGCGTTGGTAACATTAAGACTTCCACTCTCTGTGATATATCCTCCATGTGGTAAAAATTCTCGATAAACTTTCATTAAAAGATCAACTGCTCCGTCTCTAATATCTAACGATGGAATATGTGGTAAAAAGTCATTTCCAACTAAGAAACAGAAGAAAATAAAATCATCCACACATCTTTCAAATTCAAATCCCTCTACTTTTAATGTAATTTGAAGATATCCACGAAGAATATGACAATGAAGAAATTGGAATGGTTTTGTAATAGTGTCCATAGCACCAACCTCTTTTCTATGTGGGCATTTATCTGGGGAATGAATGTTATTACAAATATAACACTGTTCTTGTTCAAAAAATACTTTTTCTCTAATAATACTGAAGAACCGTTCATGGGTTGCAAGAGATAACATAATAAGATCAGCATCTAATCCATACATACAATGATGTATATTTGGGTTATAGTCTGGTGACTCTTTTTGTCTTCTAATAAAATCCATAATTTTATGCTCTCCTTCACCTGGTACACCAGAATCACTTAAAATAACAACAAGTTTATTCCAATAACTCGATTGACTCATTCTTTCTTTTATATATTTCTTCAATGTTTTAGAAACTACTGACATAAATTCTGTACCAGGAGTAATACAATTCGAATCTAATGGTTTTATATAAGGAACTTCAGGTAATCCATTCCTTACTTTATTTCGATTCTCTTCTGCATGTTTAAGTTCTGCATTTTCTGCGTCTTTTGCTGATTTGAATCTACGACTTCTTTGTTGATTCATTTTTGCTCTTGGTGCAACTCCATCAACAGCAAGATACAATAATTTTCTAGGTCTGACAATGTCAATAAGATAATCTAAATATCTGCCTAACATCACCATCATGTCTTCTATTGTTTCAGGTGATTGTCGGTCTTGTGGATGGAAACATGGATGAATTAATCCATTCATATCAATATAAAAATTATCATATTCAACCCCATTAAAGTTAGGTTCGTTCAAGTCATTGTATTGTTCGTGGAATGACCCTTGACAACCGTCAATAATTTTTGGAAATTTTTGACTTAACCATCTAAAGAATGATGGAACTCCCATTGATCTTTCAAGTTCAATTTCTTTTCTTTTTTCTCCTATTTTATTTTGTGTTTTATATATCAAAGCAAATATCATTATCACTTCTGTCATTACAAAGAAAGAAGAATCAAACCACACTAACATCAACAAAGACCGTAACTCGAATTACACCTAAAATACAATTTGTTGATAAAAAAAGAAAACATTACTAAATAAGAAAAAAAAAATCATAAACGTAAGTTTTAGAAAAGTTAATAAGAAAGTGATATAAAATAACAAAAAGGACAAACTTAGAAATAACAAATTATTCGACCATAAACACCGAAACTTTTTTGTGTTAAATAATAAAAATATTTTATCTTAACCTTTAAAAGGTTTATACTTTTTATTAACCAAAATATGTTATGAGAAATGATGCATTACGATTTTGTCTTAAGATGTTTTCTTATTCTTTTAACCCTTATGAATTATTTTTATTCTGGCTATCTATTCTATTTTAATTTAATCAACACCCATACCCCTTCAAACAAATTAGTAGATATTAATATCGTAAATAATTCAGAAAAATACCAGAACATCATTGAATAATTAATTTTTGTTCACTTTTTTTTAGAAATATTAATATTTTCAAAGGATTATGTAAATATATAAATTATATTTATTTAAACCCTTGAAAAATCAAATAAACTCAATGTATTATAACGTTAATTATATATAAAATACCAACAATTAATTTTTGTTACAGAAAGTTCTTATAAATCATATCATAACTCTCTTCATAATACCATTATTAAGAAAGAATCGATCATAAATATTCTTAATTAAAAGAAATTTCTGTTTGCGATAGAAGTTTATAATTAATAAAGTATTGAATATATCATTACTTTAACTATCTTGTAAATTCATTTATTTAGAGTTATTCTTTCATCAAAACAAATAAATACTATTTTCATTATTCTTTTTATCGCTCTCATCTCCTCCTATATTACTTTAAATTTTAAGGTGATAAAATTAAATAACTTTGATATGATGAAAAAACTTTTCATTTTTAATGATATATTCCACGTATTATAAACTTCATTAAATTTTTTAATAAACAAAATTAGTAAAAAATTTTAATTAATAAACAAATCAACAATTGAATTTTCTTCATATTGAGAAATAATTATTTCAGTTTCTTCAATATACTTTATTTCTACCATACCATTTATTTCCAACACAATTTCATTGGAAGGTTCTTCTTAAAAAATTATCAAAAAAAAAAAATAAATGAATAAAATTTTTGAGATATAAAACAATATTATTATCTTTATTTTGTTTGATGTCGTTTTGAATGTTTAATTAATTGTTCTTTCTTTTTCTTTGGCATTTTATGTTTTAGTTTTTCTCTTCTTTCAATTTTATATTGCTTCTTGTGTTCTTTTCTTAATTTTTTTTCTTCTTCTTTATCAACTTTCTTTTCTTCTTTTAACTTTTTCACATACTCTTTATATTCTTCGCTGTTCATTTCATCTTCATCTTCAGAAGTATCAATACTTTCATC